CATATTTTGGGGTGAAATTTCCTAAGCTCCTTCACGTCATATCTAAGTGATATAAAAAAAATACTCTCAGCACTTGAATAACAGGCTCTCTCTCAGTAGGATCCTGCTCAATCTCATCTTCTCAAAGCAAAATTATCCCAGTTTCCACATTTATTCCTTCTCTTAGGAATATTACTTGAAAATATGCTATGTTTCTGTGTTGGGGAGGAATACATGGTGTACATTGCCGAATTTGTTCCCATAAAGGATTTATCATCCAGTTAGGGAAAGCGGACACATAAATTTAATGTCGGTAAAGACATGGTGTGTTCTGTAACAGTAAATGACCTGGCTCCAGTGAGTGATGTGGGCTGCAGGGTTGCAGAGGTCAGGGCAGACTTTGCAGGAATGCAGGGCTCCCCACAGAAGATGACAGACTATGTTTAGGACAGTGACAGGGGCAGACTTGCTCTAGAACGTAACTCTCAACCCAATTTCAGCAAGAAAGATTACAAAGCTACTTCTGTGTACTTAGTTTCCAAATATGACTAGTACTGGACAAAGGGGCCCACCTGCCTGTCACTGTCCAGCCAATATGCAGAAACAGGGGATAGGTCCACCAACCTTTACTGTCAGAGGGCCAGCAATTCTGGAGAACAGTGAGAGTAGCCTCCCCAAGACTGTTCTGCCCTTCCATTTCCAAAAGCACAGTTTTATACATAAAATTTCAAAGTAAAAACCATATTAACCCTTATCTTAAACAATAATCAGCCTAACTCATAACTACATTCTCAATTCAAAAGTTAATCTCCTAGGCCGAGCATGGTAGCTTACGCCTATAATCCTAGTACTCTGGAAGGCCAAAGAGGGTAGACAACAAGAACTCAGGAATTCCAGGCCAACCTGAGCAAGAGTGAGACCCTGATTCTACTAAAAAAAAAAATTAGAAAAACTAGCCAGGCTTCTGGCAGGTGCCTGTAGCCTCAGCTACTCAGGAAGCTGAGGCAAGAGGATCGCTTGAGCCCAAGAGTTTGAGGTTGCTGTGAGCAAGACTGATGCCATAGCACTACCCACAGCAATAGAATAAGACTCTGTATCAAAAAAAAAAAAAAAAAGAGTTAATCTCCTAAATCAATCGCCCTAAACTACTCAAGACATTTTTAAGTTGGAGCTAAATTTTCTAGACACCAAGAATGGAAGACGTGAGTTGAAAGTCACATAGCACCTAAATTGACCAGACCAGCTGTGTCGTCAGTCCTGACTGACTCCATCTGATTCTCATTGCATACGCTCTCATGACCAGACATTAACATTTTAGTGTCTACAAAATAAAGTCGTTTCTCATATTTTCTTTCTTTTTTGTACAGTAAAATGTCAGAAGTTTGAGAATATTTATTACTAATCTAAGGTTATTTTGGTTTTCAGTGAAAAAAGGAAAAAGAAAAGAAAATATGACCCATAACTTTAAGTCTTCAGTGATTTAAAAAGTTTGTTCATGCATGTTTAAAGGGTTGCAAGGAAAAATATAATATGGGAGGTAAGATACAGAGAAGTCAGTGAGTAAACTAATATTAAGTAGAGGATTCTAGAGCAGGAATCAGCAGACTTTTTCTGTATAGTGTGAGATAGTGAAAATTAGGCTTTGTGGGCCACCTATAGTTTTTGCTGCAATTATTCAATTCTTCCACTATAATATGAAAGCAATCATAGAAGATACAAAAAGGAGTGTACATGTCTATGTTCCAATAAATCTTTATCAAAACAGGCGGCAGACCATGGTTTGCCAGCTTCCTCTAAAAAGTTAGGAAGAAAGGTAACACCTTGGCATGCCTGCAATCCTAGCACTCTGGGAGGCCAAGGGGGTGGATTGCTTGAGCTTAAGGTTGGAGACTAGGAAGAGGAAGAGTGAGATCCCATCTCTACTCAAAATAGAAAAACTACCCAGGCATGGTGGTGGGCACCTGTAGTCTCAGCTACAGGGCAGGCTGAAGCAAGAGAATCACTCGAGCCCAGGAGATTAAGGGGTTGCTATGAGCTATGATGATGCCATGGCACTCAACTCAGGGTGACAGAGTGAGACTCTGTCTCAAAAAAAGAAAGAAAGAAAGAAAAGAAAGGTAGCACCTTGAATGCCAGTCTAAGAAACGTACATCTTATTTCCTCAGTGACAGAGGATTACAAAGTCATTATTTTTCTTGCCCTAGAGAACCAAGATCATGTGTATAACATGCTCCTTTTGTCATCCAAGTTACCATAAGAAGTTGCCAAGGGGCTTAGCACCTGTGGCTCAAGCAGCTAAGGTGCCAGCCACATACACCTGAGCTGGCAGGTTCGAATCCAGCCTGGGCCGCCAAACAACAATGATGGCTGCAACCAAAAAATAGCCGGGAGTTGTGGTGGGCACCTGTAGCCCCAGCTACTTGGGAGGCAGAGGCAGGAGACTCTCTTGAGCCCAGGAGTTGGAGGTTGCTGTGAGATGTGATGTCAAGGCACTCCACCCAGGGTGACAGCTTGAGGCTCTGTCTCAAAAAAAAAAAAAAAAAAAAATGCCAAGGAAAACTAAGTTGTGTCCTCAGATGCCAAATAATAAAATAGTAACAATAATTCAGTAAGATTTGCTCTTCAATGCCTTAATAATTTGCATTTGTATACCTGAAGTCAGCTGGGCTGAGAGGGAAAGGACAGTTTGTTAAGGACAGGTATGTTAAGATAGGTTCCTTTGGTAAGAGGGGTTGGGACAAGCTACTGAATGTGGTTGGGGGAAGTATGTGCAAGTCTGTGATATTTTTAACTGATTTTCAAGACCTGTGCTTTGTAGGTTTGATTATAAACCTAAGAAAATTGGCAAATTAGACCATCAGGGGATCATTCTACCCAAACACATGCAGGATGTTTTGAATGCTGCTAAGAGTCCAGAGGCAATAGGGTTGCCAGGATTAGCTAATAAAAATCCAGGACACTCAGTCTAGTTTGAATTTCAAACTAGATAAACAACAAATAATTTTTTAGTATAAGTATTCCCAAATATTGAACGGGACATGATTTTATAGCACTTAATTTTTTATTGTTGTTTACTGAAATTCAAACTTAATGGGTCATCCTGTATTTTATCCGGCAATCCTAAAAATGAAGATAAATGAATTTTAATAGTTTTTTGCACTAGATATGGCATCATTGTGTCATCTGATTAGTTATCCTTCACCAAGGTTTTTTTTTGGTTAATTCTGAGAGTCTAATGACAGTCGAATCTCATTAATTCCGACCTCACTGCTTTAGAATTTTGATTATTTATGCAAGGGTTATGCTAAAGTGCCCTTTATTCTCTTCATGAATCTAGTAAGACTATTTGTCATTGATAGCACAAACAAAACTGAAAGAAAACTATCTCCTTGGGAGACTGCACGTAGTGTAATTACAGTATAATCAGAAGCTGCAGTTACTTAGGCTGTGCTTTTCATTTAATAATTATAGTACATACTCAAACGAGACTTTACCAGGCAGAGTCAGGTGGAGCCACCTAAGGCCCCATTGCCCACTTTGCATGCTGCACGCTCCAGTACATGCAAGTCTCGCCAGCTGTCTTACAGATGCACTTGTTTTGTTCATCATACCCTCCTAGAGCCTCACATAACACTGCCTACCTAGAAGGTGCACAGTGAATGTTTACTAGTTAAATTAATGGATGAATCCTATACGCACATCTTAAAATATTCTAGCTGTCTTTGTTTCTAAATTTCTTACATTTTAAATTTCCAAAATAATCTGGGGCCAGTTATGGTGGCTCATGCCTGTAATCCTAGTCCTGTGGAAGGCCAAGTTGGTAGGATTGCTGGAAGCCAGGAGTTTGAGACCAGCCTAAACAAAAACCAGACCCTATCTCTACAAAAAATAGTAAAATTAGTCAGATGTTGTGGCCAGGTGCTCGTAGTCCCAGATACTTAGGAAGCTGAGGCAGGAGGATCTCTTGAGCCCAGGAGCTTGAGGTTGCTGTGAACTATCATCACACCATGGCACTCTAGTCAGGCAACAGACAGAGATCCTGTTTCAAAAAAACAAACAACAACCAACAAGAAAAAAGGAACAAAAACTGCCTGGTCTTTCCCTTATTTCAAATTTCAGTACATAAAGGGAATGTTTGGTAAAGTTACTTGCATTGCATAAGGGTCCTTAAGAGGTTAACAGTGAAGACATTCCTGAACTCCCAAATGTGTCTGGTAAGGGAGGAAGAGGTGCTAGTGAAATCACCAAGAGCATTCCTGTGAGCTTTCATCTAGGTAGGACCATGGGTCTCAAACTATCCGGTTGCTGATAGCATTGGCAAGGTTGAGCCTGCAGTCCTGCAGTCTCCTTACTCACCCCCACTGGCCATGATCATGTGTGTAGATATGGATACAGTGTATATATACACACACATAATTATATACATATACTTAAATAAATCCCCATGCATCTTCCAAAGAGATGCAGAGGGATTCTTTTGACTGGATACTAGTTATGGCTATCACTGATAAACACTACATCAATGACTTGAAACAGATACGTTGACATTACACATTCTAAACCACATTTTTATAATTACACTATATACAAGTCATCAGAAAGATCCTTAAAAACTACCAGGGAATTCTGGACCACTCTTGAGGGAAGTTAAACATGAGTGGTTTATATGTGGAAGGGGAACATCAGACTTTCTATTGCCTGGAATAGATTGGCATCTAGCCTTGGAAACTATCCAGGTGAGACTTGTTTACAATTTCCAGCTGTGCCTTTTTTTTTTTTTTTTTCTCCAGCAGAGAAAAAAGATTAATAGGAACCAGGAGATTAGGTTTTAAAACTCCCTCTTTTTTTCCTAATCTTACCTGTATCTCTGAAGTATTTTTCCTCGCAGTCTGTCAGAATACAGGGGGGATGCACTGAACACCTGTCAGGGCTGAAAAGCGCTGGGCCTGCGGTCTTGATCCTTCCTTTTAAGAGAGTTGAGTCATGGTCTGACTATTCCTTTGTTCTCCCTTCTCTCACAGCACCCTGGAGGGGTACTATGTGGATGATGCCCTGCAGGGCCAGGGAGTTTACACTTACGAGGATGGAGGAGTTCTCCAGGGCACGTATGTAGACGGAGAGCTGAATGGTCCAGCCCAGGAATACGACACCGATGGGAGGCTGATCTTCAAGGGGCAGTATAAAGATAACATTCGGCATGGAGTGTGCTGGATATACTACCCAGTAAGCCTATGACTGTTCGCTTTGCTGAAAATAACGTGTTTTAAGAAAATAAATGCTTTTACTCTTCACCATGAAGAGTGAATGTATTCTCTACGTTAGAACTTGTGAAGCTGTGAAACCTGAGAGTCACCATAGCTGAAGCCAAGAGTGAAGGGCCTGCCCTCTCACTGTTATTCACTACTGACTTAGATGGTTGGTCCTTGAATCTACTACTAATTATTTTTCAGTGTTGTTTTGGGAAGGAATGACTAATCAGGATTAAAACAACTTGGGACATACTGGGGGTTTTTTATTGTTTTTTTTTTGAGACAGAGTCTCACTATGTCCTCCTTGGTAGAGTGCTGTGGTATCATAGCTCACAGCAACCTCCAACTCTTGGACTTAAGTGATTCTCTTGCCTTAGCCTCCCAAGTAGCTGGGACTACAGACACCCGCTATAGCACCTGGCTATTTTTTTGTTGCAGTTGTCATTGTTTAGAAGGCCAGTGCCAGGTTTGAACCCGCCAACCTCAGTGTATGTGGCCAGTGCCCTAACCACTGAACTACAGTCACTGAGCCAGGGACATACTGGTTTTATTGTGCCACTAATAAAGGCAAAGTATAATGCTTTTAATTCTTATGGCCTGCAGAAAGAGATGGTGGAATACTTTACTGTTGCTATTGTATTCTCTGTTTCTTGTATCTAAGAACTAATCTAGCAATTTCCAGTCTTTGGGGGGCATATACACTGTTGTTGCTTGATTGTACAATTCTGCTCCCTGCATTTTATGGTGCTTTATGACTTATCTTGCTTAAATTAAGGTGATTAAAATTAACTTGCCTTTGAGTATTTGAAAGTGTTTTATATTTCCAAAGCTTATTACAGCAAAAAGATATGGCAAAAACCTGTGGTTAGGAATTAATGCTCTAATTTTTGTTTGCATTTCAAATATCCCATCTGCTGTCTAGTGAATTTCCAAAAAAAATTTTCAGAAAATAGGCCTTAGAAAATATTTTATTTAATACTATATTTTGTTCAGAACTTAAGTCAAAATGCATTTTTTACTCAAAAACCTATCTTCTTATGATTAAAAAGCATTAATAAAAACAAATAATCAACTACATGTATAGCAAGAAAAATAGTCCCAGCTAAATCTACCTACACATTATTATTCTTAAAAAAGTCATACTCGAGGAACTCTTCTAGATTCTTCTAACAGAAGAATGTTGTAAATTAAACATTTTCTAAGAATGACTAAAGCATTTACCTATCCTCTTGGTAGGATCTGGGATTGAAAGATCAAAAATTGTAGCGTTTACTGCTTAGGAGAAGGCCAGCAGAAGGGTAGGAAGCAGTAGCGGTACTGCCCGGCTTAGGAAGACTGAGGCTTTGCTTCATGAGCCACCACGTTGGGCATCTGGCTGCACAGTGCCTGGGAGCTGCTGCTATGACCGTGTATCTGGACATCATGGAAAGTGGAACATGGGGATGGGTGTAGGGAAAAGGTGAAGTATGGATTAACCGCATTCTCCTACTCCCTGGCATTTCATTTGTGGCTGTCATCAATTACAGCTCCTAGATGAGGTCAAAGATGCACCAAGAATGGTGAATTTGTATTTGTCTCACTCGACATAGTTGTTATATTTTGAGACCTACCTAGAAATGCAGCTACATTTTAGTTTTTAGCCCTAATTATCTTATTAAACACCAAAGAAGACTCTGCCTGAGGAGAGAAGCATTGTTGAGCTTAAATAGCAGCCATTGTCCTATTAACCCCCACCACCAGGGCAATGGGTATCAGCAGGTGTCAGATCCTGCCCTCTCACCAATCAAATGAATGCTTCCTCCTCCCACCAGGAGGAGCCAATGAGCACAGGAGAGAAAGCAGCAGCTTCTTCCCCAGTGTTCTCTGATACAGCAGGCAAGGACTTTTCTGTGACAAGGGGCCAAGGCAGAAACAAGGGGATGAAAAAAATAATGATTTTTTTTCCCCTATGGTACGTATTTATAAGTTCACTCTAAGGATGGTTTCTTTCAAAATTATCATGGTTGAAACCATGATATAAAAATTTTAATTAAAAATTTATAACTCGGCTTGGTGCCTGTAGCTCAGTGGCTACAGTAGGGCACCAGCCACATACACCGGAGCTGGTGAGTTCAAACCCAACCTGGACCTGCCAAACAACAATGACAACTACAACCCAAAAATAGCTGGGCATTGTGGCAGGTGCCTGTAGTCCCAGCTACTTGGGAGGCTGAGGCAAGAGAATTACCTAAGCCCAAGAGTTGGAGGTTGCTGTGAGCCATGACAGCATGGCACTCTACCAAGGGCGACATAGTGAGACTCTTGTCTCAAAAAAAAAAAAAATGTATAACTCCTTTTGGAAATAGAAGAATTTCTCCTTTATAGTTCTAGATCTAGACAAATAAATCCATTTGCTCCAAAACCAAAAATTTAAAGCATTTAAGGGAAAAAAATATGAAACCCTAGAAAGACTTGTTTTAAATAAATAGTATATTGATGGCTTACATTATTTACAGCATATATGAAGAACAAATACTGTAACATGCTTTAGCTCTATAAAAATCACTGAAAGCGGCTCTGGCTCGACGCCTGTAGCACAGTGGTTATGGCGCTGGTCACACGCACCAAGGTTGGCAGGTTGGAACCTGGCCCAGGCCAGCTAAACAACAATGACAACTGCAACAAAATAATAGCCGGTCACTGTGGTGAGCACCTGTAGTCCTACCTACCTGGGAGGCTTAGGCAAGAGAATGGCTTAAGCCGGAGAGTTTGAGGTTGCTGTGAGCTGTGATGCCATAGCATTCTAGCAAGGGCAACATAGTGAAACTCTGTCTCAAAACAAAACAAACCAACCAAAAAAATCACTGAAAGCCTAATGGCAGGTCTTGCAAAAAATATCATCTTCATATGCTTGGTTATTAAACATTAACTTAGGGAGGAGAAAAGCAATTCATATGTTCCTAATCATTTTCTGTCCATGAAAAAACGCTTCTAAGTATTTTTCTTTCTATGGATATGCTCTGATTCCTTTTTAAATTTATAATCTTCTTCCTCCAAAGAGTAATTAGACTATGGTGAACTGTAGAAATCATGTACCCAGTCTTACTTACAAGTATTCCTATTGTCTCTTTTTTACTCTCTCTCTTTTTTTTTCTTTTTTTTTTTTTGAGACAGAGAGTGACGTGGTGATATAGCTCACAGCAACCTCAAAACTCTTGGCCTCAAATGATCCTCTTCCTCTTGCCTCAGCTCCTGAATAGCTGGGATTCTAGGTGCCTGCCACACACTCAGCTATATTCTTAGAGATGGGGTCTCACCCTTGCTCAGGCTGGTTTTGAACTCCTGAACTCAAGCAATCCACTCACCTCTGCCTCCCAGAGTGTTAGGATTACAAGCATGAGCCTCCGGCCCCTCCTTTCTATTTTTTTTTTTTTTTTGAGGCAGAGCCTTGTTCTGTCACCCTGGCTAGAGTTCAGTGGGATTGTCATAGCTCATGGCAACCTCAAACTCCTGGCCTAAAGCAATCCTCCTGCCTCAGTCTGCTGAGTAGCTACTCAGATGGGTGTGCTCTCTTGCACTGACTGGTCTCTGAGCTCATGTGATCCTCCCACCTAGGCCTCCCAGAGTGCTAGAATTATAGGTACCGAGACATTACACCTGGGCTCCTATTGCTCCCAGCAGCATCAGAGATCAAAAGTCATCCTACATCACTGACTCTGACTAGCTGTTCTTTAATCTTTGAGTCGGGGAAATTAACCAAGCTTTTAGAAGATGTCATGACAATACCAGCATTCTGTCAAACCCACAAAGGTCTTAGATTTTCAGAGTTATACCATAAGGACCTTTGGATGTGTCATAAAAAAAGAAACCTCTCTGGTAACCTAGAGTAAATTATTCATTGCTTTTTTTTTTTTTTTCTGGTATCCCAGTTCAATTCAAAAAGTATTTAATGGACCACCTATTGTGTTCCTAGCACTTACCAAGATAAAGAATTATACATTAGTCTCTGCCCGAAAGTACTCAGTGCCTCTCAGGAATGAAGTAAATTTTCAGAGTTAAGCAAGAAGCTTTTGTGCTGGAAGGCAAGAGGGAGCTGTAAATAAAGAGGGGAAGAGAAATGATGCAGGAGGGAGCAGAATTTAGTTGTTTTTTTTTTTTTTTTTTCACTTTTCCTTCTAACTCCAAAAAGAGGTGATGGCATAGGATTCTCAGAAAGGTAGACAGTATCCAGAAGTCCTTTTGTTTATCTCTTAGAAAATGTAGACAACTCTCTTTATTCATGGACACTACATTTATTCTTAAGAACCTTTTCTTAATAGACTAGAAATCCAAAGTTTAACATTGGGAAGTGGGATCATGTGAATATGTCTTACGCTGTCACCCCAACTGGAGGTCAGTGGCATCATCGTAGCTCACAGCAACCTCAAACTCCTGGGCTCAGGCTACCCTTTTGCCTCAACCTCTCAAGTAGCTGGGACTACAGGTGACTGCCACAACACCCAGCTGATTTTTCTATTTTTAGTAGAAATGGGGTCTCACTCTTGCTCAGGCTGGCCTCGAACTCCTGACCTCAAGCAGTCCTCTAGCCTCAGCCTACTGAAGTGTTAGGATTACAAGTGTGAACCCCCTCACCCAACCCATACTGCTGCTATTGACAATGGGAGATCAGACAAGAAATTCTTGAACTTGTGTCCTATAAATACTATATGTAATATTTTTGGTTTTTGGTTTCTCCTATCAGGATGGAGGCAGCCTTGTAGGAGAAGTAAATGAAGATGGGGAGATGACTGGGGAGAAGATAGCCTATGTGTACCCTGATGAGAGGACTGCACTTTATGGGAAATTCATTGATGGAGAGATGATAGAGGGGAAACTGGCCACCCTTATATCCACTGAAGAAGGGAGGCCTCACTTTGAACTGATGCCTGGAAGTAAGTTCAATGTGCTTCAGATGGGTTGCTGTAATTCCAAAGCAGGTTGTTAGGACTTCACTGAGGGAATTTTCTTTTCTTGTCTGTATAGTTCACTTCAATAGTGTCTTAGTCATGCTCGCTGCGTAGTAGACTCCTCAACACCCCAGCATCTCACAGCAGTCAACACAGTTGGCTGACGCTGGGCATGACCCAGCCAGGCTGGACTTGAGGTTTCTGGTCAGTTTTGTTCTCTTTTAAAGCAGTGTGTGTGTTCTTTGGGGGGATTTTTTATTTTTTTGAGACAGAATCTCATTAAGTTACCCTGGGGTTGAGCACCATGGCATTGTAACTACACTAAAACATGTTGGGAGGTATAAAATTATTTATTAGAGAAAATCTGCAAAATATAGGCAAATATACAAAGAAAAACTCAAGAGTTTGCATACTGGGGGGCCCAACATAAGAAAAGCATTTGAATTGGTCTGATCCTTTGAAAACAACATATGTTTCTGATCCAGGTTAGGTTGCAAGGAGAACAAAGAAAAGATAATACATTTAAGCATAGTAGGCTCAAATAATATTTAGTTACTTGGGATTTGAAGAAGAATCTCCAAAGGAAGGTTGTCCAAAAGTGGGAAATATAGCATTTATATTTAGGTCCAATTTGGGTTTCTTTAAATGTCGTTTTGGTTTTTTGGCTTTTTTTTAAGTTAAAAATTGAGGCAGTCTAAATGTAATGTGGGATTCTGGATGGGATCCTGGAACAGAAAGAGGACATTAGTGGAAAAACTGTTGAAATCTAAATAAAGTCTAGAGTTTAGTTCATAGTAATGTATCTATATTGGTTTCTTACTTGACAAATGTACCGTGTAATGTAAGAAGTTAGTTAACACTAGGAGAAGCGGTGAGAATTCTCTGTGCTATCTTTGCAACTTTTGTGTATACAGTCATGTGCTGGACAACCATGGTGATCCCATAGATTATACCATGTTTTTGCCATACCTTTTCTTTATTTTTCTTTTCTTTTTTTATTTTTTCTTTAAATTTCCACACACAGTATTGGTACTGGACCTTTTCTGTGTTTTGATATACAAATCCTGATCACTGTGTTACAGTTATCTCCAGTATTCAGTACAGTAACACAAAATACAGGTGTGTAGCCTAGAATCCATAGGGGATACCATACAGCCTAGATGTGCAGTCGTCTGTACCATCTGTGTCCGTGTTAGTACACACTGTGATGTTCACACGAGGACAAACTCATTGTCACATTTCTCAGAAGGTATCCCCATCATTTAAGTGATGCATGACTTATATTTGAAATAACTCCAAAATAAAAAGTTTACTTAAAAGAAAAAAAAGAGAGCAGCAGTAATCTTTGAACCACAAACCCTAGAATGTCTGTGCTCTTGACATTGTTCGAAAAGGAGAGAGTGTTATAACGTTTAGAAATGAGGACTCTGGGGACAGGGGAGGATCCTAATTGGTGATGCAAATTTTAAAACTTCAGAAGTGGCAGCATTTTTCTTGGCAAGTGCCTGAATTTAAGAGTTGCCTAATTTGACTCCCAGCTCTAACATTTACTGTACTATGGTCTTGGGAAAGTTATTTATTCTTTTCCTAATCCATTTCTTCATTATCAAATATGAATATTGGCCCCTACCATAAAATTCTATAATGAAATTTATCATTGCTATTTTCTTCTTGGTATAAATAAGAAACAGATTTTGAGTTTGATAAAATATATATATGTTTTTGAGACAGGCTCACTTTGTCGCCCTTGGTAGAGTGCTAGATTGCATCATAGCTCACAGCAATCTCAAACTCCTGCTCAAACGATTCTCTTGCCTCAGCCTCTCCAGTAACTGGTACTATAGGCACCCGCCACAATGCCCAGCTATCTTTTTTGTTGCAGTTGTCATTGTTGTTTTGAAAGAACAAGACCTATGTCATCTTAAGCTTAAGTTTCGGTTTCCCCGAAGTTAAGTTTCGGGTTCTAAGAAGTCAGGACACAGGCCCATGACGCCACCTCAGTGGCCCCTACCAATCAGAAAGGTGCACGACCTCACATAGAGGTTACTCCCTTCCCCTCGCCCATAAAAGCCACCCTCCCCTTAAAACAGGGTCTCGCTGCGTGGAGATACTGGAGGCCCAAGCTTGCAAGCTTGAATAAAACTCTCCTGCTTTTGCATCAGACCCTGGCTCCCTGGTGCTTCTTGGGGACATAGTGATCTGGGCACAACAGTTTGGCAGACCCAGCCCCAGTGTATGTAGCTGGCGCTATAGGAGCCGAGCCAGAGACTGATAGTTCTTAAGGGCATATTTTTTCAGTGCTGTTTTTTTTAGAACTCCTGGTTGCACATAACAAATACCCTCTTCAAATTAACTTAAGGCGCCTGCGCCCGTAGCTCAGTGGGTAGGGCGCCGGCCCCATTTACCGAAGGCAGCGGATTCAAGCCCTGCTCTGGCCAAACTGCAGCAAAAAAGTAGCCAGGAGTTGTGGCGGGTGCCTGTAGTTCCAGATACTCAGGAGGCTGAGGCAAGAGAATCGCCTAAGCCCAGGATTTGGAGGTTGCTGTGAGCTGTGTGATGCCAGGCATTCTACCATGGGCCATAAAGTGTTTTGGTTTTTTTTTTTTTTTTTTTCTGTCTCTACAAAAAAAAGAAAAAAGGAAGAAAAAAATTAAAAAACAAAACAAATTAACTTCTGGCAGGCTTCAAGTATTTTGAAGAAATGTTAAAGTTTGGCCCTCCAAAGGGTCTGGAACCATGGCTGCTTTGAGTGACTCCAAAGAACCCGTGTACAGACCTTCGCTGCTGCTGTGTTGTGCCACTTCCACGTCCTCTTCAAGCCTTTATAATTACTGACCTGCTGATTGGCTAGTAGATTAGGTGGTGCAGTGTCACGTGACCACTGGGTCCACTGATTGGGAGAGGAGGGATACATAATGCACATGTCTCACATAAAATGCTTCTCCCACCAATTCTTTCTCTGCATACTGTTGTAACCGCAGGCTGCCCGCAGTTCTCCGCTTACTTTCTGCTGGGTTTTGCATTTCTGCTTCTGGCTGGAATTTCTTTCTTCTGTTCACCCTGCACGCGGAAGGTCCTTTCCCCCTGCTAATTGCTACTTCTCTTTAAGGCTAGTTCACCTTTTATAATTAGTGTTCGTTGTGAATGAATGAATTCTAGCCAAAGGGTTTAGTGTAAACTCCTTTGCTCAGGAGGCTAAGTAAAGGACATACTCTGTTTGCCCTGAGCCTGGGCGCGTCTAAGGGAGTAGAGGAAGGGACAGCAGACATTAGGAAAGGCAGCATTCTCTTCTCAAAGCAGGAGCAGATGCTAATCCTACTGGTATCCGCACAGTCCCTACCATGAGTGGAGTTGGCATTCAGTACACTTGTGATAAAAATTTTAGTCTAAGGAACGAGATGGCAGTTCATAGGAGAATTTCCAGGCAATAAAACATGTATTTCACACGAGGGTGTTTTTCTTTTTTTTAAGTGTTTTTTAAACTAAATTCTTTTCACAGATTATGCAGTGACCTGGTACCACTTCGTTCTCAGATCCAATCCATTCCTCCTTCTTTCTCTGCCTGCATTTATTGCAGAGGGCTTCTCCCCTTTGCAGGCTGCATTTCCCAGGCTCCTTTGTGGCTGACTTCTGTCTGGTTTTGGCCAAAGGGAGGCCACTGGCCAGGACAGAGTGGAGTTGGGGGAAAGAAGCAGGAACAAGCCGCATCTGTGTCCAGCAGCGCCCCCAGCAATGGCCCTATCACCTCCTGATTCCATCTCCCATCAGGAAGACCAACCTTAGTTCCAGCTACCCCAGCTCTGCTCCAGGAGCACCCCTTCTCCTATCCCTCTGGCTTAGGGTGGCAGCTTCAGGAGCACCCCTTCTCCTATCCCTCTGGCTTAGGGTGGCAGCTTTCCACTCTTGCCAGATTTTAGGCTTCTCACGGCTCCATTTGGCATGTCGGCTCTTCTATCCCCAGTATAACCAAATCCCTGAATTAGATTCTCTTTGAAATACTCAAATAACCTGTTTCTGAGTTGGATTATTTTCTGACTTTTCATTTGAGGCATTAATTCAAGTTTTAGATGTACCAAACAAAAACAAACAAAACAACAATAAACAGAACCATTGGTAACCATTGGTGACCACTAAGGAAATGTTTAATGGGATTATTAGTTATAGCTTTGTGCATAAGATCATTTACTTTGCAGGAATAAGCCTTCCAGTTCCAATTCTTGTTTCTTTACGTATTAGCCTTCAGAGCATCTTACATCCTTCATTGTGCCCAGTGAGGACTCTCTAAGGCTAATCCTTTGCAGAGAACTAACGTTAATTCTGGAACTATTGTGTATCTTAGTTCCTGGAATAAATTATTAATTGGCTTCTGAACCACCCTAGTAGAAATAAGATGATCCTGTTACTGCTTTATCAAAATCAGGCTGTTCTCCCTAATTCTGGTGAAGCAGAATGTTTATGCTTAGTGAAGGGGACCACTGCCAGAGCTCCGTTGTTGAATTCTATAGGCTGTATCTGATATACACAAGAAAAATTTAAAACCAGAGAGATCTCAGTATTTTGTGACAGAGCATTTTCTTGGTTACAAATTTTAAGTTCCTGGGCATCTTTTAAATCATTTAAATAAAGAAAATTCAAGAGCAAATAGGAATTTTAAGAGATGTATCTGAAGGCTGTTCATTAAGACCTAAAAATAAAAATGCAGAGTAAGTCTAAGAACTATCCATTTAAAGTGAAGAATTTCATTCTATTTGGTATAACTTGAATAACATGTTTATTTAACTCTTCCTTGTCCCATAGGTAGGGAGAAATGTTTTCTTTTCTTTTCTTTTTTTAACTTACATGTACTTCACATCTAGAGAAAAATGTTTGAAATATTCTTCTCTGACTCTGTAGCTCTACTGATATTTTTGTTTGCTTTTTAGACTCAGTATACCATTTTGATAAGTCAACTTCATCTTGCATTTCTACTGATGCTCTTCTTCCAGATCCTTACGAATCAGAAAGGTAATTTTTCCTTCTGTGCTTTTTATGGGAGGTTAAATAACCCTAATGGTGGGGACTAATGCGCCTCGGTGGCTCTGTGCCCAGGCTGGGTTTCTGTTCTGACCAAGCTTCTCATTAAAGTGTCCTTTTCCTTTGCAAAAACCTCCAGATAAATGCTTCTACATTCTGAGGAAGTATGTTTTTATTCTCATATAGAATCTGTTTTTGTAAGAGAGTTTCTCCACCCATGAAGGACTACCTGTGTTTCTGTCCTGGAATGAAACCTCTAGGTAGAGAGAGCCGTTGGTCCAGGCAGCCAGCTCTGCCCTGCCCAAGCGTCCCCTTTATTAGGGTTTGTGATGCAGTCACATGCTGTCCCTCTAAGGGAGTATTTCACACTCTAAAGCTCTAGCCTACGCACACAGGACGCCTCCTTTTCTAATTAGCCCAGCTGAGGGGTTCTGGAACATAAGACAGTTTCTTTCCTCACTGAGAGAGGACAAGAGAGAAGCAACCTGTAAGAGGCACAAAGACATTCCAACTTACAAATGACAAGTTTCTGATTCTATAGGCCCACTCCCAGTGGGAGGGTCACGTTCTGTTCCATTTCGTATCTTATCTTTAAGATTTGCCCTGCTTGCATGCAGGTATTAGGGGATGGGGGGACAAAAAAGAATGGTTAGATGCCAGCTCTCAGTTCCTGGGGTGGCTTTCTCTGGTGCCCTCGCTGGGATTTTCCTTCTTCCCCGGCAACAGATGTTTCTGAGTAAGGGTACTATCTGAAAGTGGTTTTCCTCTTTGCATCACTCTAAGCATGGCTTGCCTCTCATTCACTTTTGGTTTCCTTCTGAGAAATAGGCCTCTTCCCCATTTAACCGACAAAGCTGACACCACAGTGTCACAGTGAATGAATGGCCTCTTTCTGACATGAGGTTCTAGTCCAGTTACAAAGGGGAGAGTTTGGTCTCTTCATTAGCCCCCAAACACAAAGATACCATAACTGTGTGTATTTCTGTTATTATTATTCTACTATTATGATTATGATCATGCCGCATAACAATATCCTGAAACTGATCCACCATTTACAAAAGCAAACATTTTATTTTACACTTATGGTTCTATAGGTTGACTAAGAGTCAGCTGCTTTTGACCAGAATCAACTAGTGTAGGCTGAACTCTAGGTATTGAGTTGGATTCAGGTCTTTTTGGCTTGTCTTCTTTCCAAGACTCTAGCTACAGGAGAATAGCCCCCTGGGGCACATGGAGCAAGCCAGCAGAAACTTGCCCCGCCTCTTAGCCCCTGAGACCCTGCACGCAGTCACTTCTGCCCAAGTTCTACCAGCAAAGCAGATCACAGGGCCAAGCACAAAGTCTGTAGGGCAGACATGAACCCTCTACCAATTCTGAGGGAGGTACTTCAAGGCTACATGGCAAAGTGGCAAAATGAATAATTCTATCATATGGAGGGAGTAAAGAGTGGGAAGCAATAATTCAGTCTTCCCATCCATAAGTAAGCATAAGATTCATGTAATAAAAATTACAGCAGATAGTTCCTGCAGGATCATTCCATCACAGTGTCTGAGGAACTGAAATAGTTGTTGATGGGACACGTTCTGACTATTAAATCCAGTTCATATAATCACTAGTGCTGTTTTTTCTTCTTATGAGCAAGTATTTGGAAGACTTTTTCTGTAAAGAGCCAAGTAGTAAATATTTTAGGCTTTGTGGGCCATATGATCTCCATGACAACCACTCAACTCTGCCTTTGTAGCACAAAAGTGTCAAAGATGGTGCTAAATAAATAGGTGTGGCTGTGTGCCAATAAAACTTTATTTACAAAAAAGAGCAATAACAGATTTGAACCTCAGGCCATAGGTAGCTGACCCTTGTAATAAACTTTTTTGTTAAGAAGTGCTTGTTGGATATATCTGAGTACTTGTCACTCTTTCATGAAAAAGATCCATGCTGGGACTTAAAGTTTTCCCCTCCTATCTGGTATTGACAAACTTAGCTATAGCTTTAATTAACTTTGGAAAATGTTTTATTTGTCCATTAAGACAGTGAAAATTGTTAACTAAAAACATAAAATTCTCCCAAGAAAACAACTTATATCAAGCACTGAGTAGCTTTATGAATATATAACATAATCCCTTTATTAGAAAGCAAATTTTAAACATACTCTTAAAGAGACATAACTACCATTTCTTCAATTTCCAATGACAAAATATCTTAGTTTAACTTTTTCTTCTTCCCTTTGTTCTTTGTAGGATTATTATGAACTGACACTTTGGATTCATTAGCCATAATGATATTTTGGTGGCTGCTATAAGGAGAGACATATCAAACCTAAAAGGTCATTATTTGACTCTTTTTTTCTATTAGGGTTTATGTTGCCGAATCTCTCATTTCCAGTGCTGGAGAAGGACTGTTTTCAAAAGTAGCAGTGGGACCTAATACTGTTATGTCTTTTTATAATGGAGTCCGAATTACACACCAGGAGGTGAGTAGTATAGACATGGGACACCAACTTGATTGGTTAAAAGGGTTGTTTCCAGTGATGCCTGTGGGTCAGTGGGTAGGGCTTCAGCCCTAAATACCGAGGGTGGCGGGTTTGAGCCCAGCCCAAGCCAGCTAAAAAAACAGCAATGACAACTATAACAAAAAAATAAAAAAAGCCAGGCATTGTGGCAGGCGCCTGTAGTCCCAGATACTTGGGAGGCTGAGGCAAAAGAATCGCTTAAGCCCAAGACTTGGAGGTTGCTGTGAGCTGAGACACCATTGCACTCTACCCAGTGCAACTAAGTGCAACTCTGTCTCAAAAAAGAAAGAAAAAAACGGGTTTTATTTCAAAGTCCCTGCTGGCGGGGCACAATGGCTCACACCTGTAATTCTAGTACTCTGGGAGGCTGAGACATGAGGATCCCTTGAGCGCAGGATTTTAAGACCAGCCTGACCAAGGGCGATACCCCATCTCTATTAAAATTAGAAAAAAGTAGCCAGATATTATAGTAGTAGGCACTTGTAGTCCCAGCTACTCAGGAGGCTGTCAGGACGATCACTTCAACCCAGGAATTTGAGGTCACTGAGAGCTAGGCTAACACCACGGCACACTAGCCTGGGCAACAAAATAAAACTATGTCTCAAAAAAAAAAAAAAAAATTCAAACAAAGTCCCTACACTTTAGTATTCACTAGAAATGTAAAGGAACAGATTATCTTTTTTGTTTAAAAAAAGAAATAGGGTGGTATCATCAATATAGTCAAAGTAATTGCTTTGCACTAGACCAGTGATTCTCAACCTTCCTAAGGCCACGATGTATTTTCATTGTTACAAAGGGGTTGTGACCCACAGGTTGAGAACCGCTGCACTAGACAATTTTTTTTGAGACAGAGTCTCACTATGTCATCCTGGGTAGAGTGCTGTGGCATCACAGTTCATAGCAACCTCCAACTCTTGGGCATAAGCGATTCTCTTGCCTCAGCCTCCCAGACTACAGACGCCAGCTACAACGCCTGGCTATGTTTTGCTTGTAGATTTCACTGTTGTTTGGCAGGCCCGGGCTGGATTTGAACCTGCCAGCTCTGGTGTATGTGGCTGGTGCCCTAGCCTCTGAGCTACAGACACCAAGTCATGCACTAGACAATATTCAATGTGAGATCCATTCAGATTCAATGTGAGATCCATTCAGTATTCAAATTGAGATCCATTAGGACTATGTGAGTAATTAATTTATGACCACGGGTAAGTTTCTAAAAGGAAGTGCCCCTACACCTGTTTGTGTGAAAGCCATACATTAGCCTGTCAGGAAAGGTTCTATTGCCAGAAAAAATTAAAAAGTTAAAGAGTTGAATCACCACCTTCCTTCAAGATGATCTTTGAGATATATATTTCTAAAGACTTCATATATGTTTCTTGTTTTTGTTTCTTTACTTCACAATTAACATACCTAAATGTCTTCTTAACGGCAAAGGTTTGATGTTTTTGGAATAGCTAGTGAGCTCCATCCTCATCTTACTTCTGTGAAGTGTATGGGACTTAACACTTATAGTGGATGCCCCACATTCATGTTTCACTTTCAGTTTTTCACTTTTTCCTGCAGAACAATAAGGGGGAAATGCCATGATATAGTAAAGTTATTACACATTCAAAGCGGTCACATAGGCAGCGGGTGGTAACATATTCTGACTGAGCTGTGGTCTGGCAGACCTTGTCCCCCTGCAGTGGCCAGACCTCTAATAGCCATTGAAAAAGGCCAAGAAATTCGGCAAATGAAAATGACTTCAAAATTCTAATAAATTTGTGTTTGTTTATTTGAAATAAGGTCTTGCTATATCTCCCAGTCTGGTCTGGAACTCCTGAGCTCAAGAGAGCCTCCCACCTCAGCCTCCCAAACAGCTGGGATTATAGGCACAAGCTACCATGTCTGGCACCTTCAGGATATTGATGTATTATTTACTTACTCAAACATCTTACAAATAAGGAAACCTAAGCCTAGAGAGGTTAAGCAACTTTCCCAAGGTCACAAATACAGTAAATAGCAGTCTGACTCTGAAATTCACTGCACTATATTGCATAAATGAATGAGACATGCTCTTTGTCCTCGTTAAGTTTACATTCTGTTGGGAAGATAAGAAAGACACACAACTAATGGCAGCACAGTGCAAATGGTACCAAGTGCCATATATCAGTATTACATGACAGATCCTGGAATATTAGGATCCATGAGGGTCTTTTCACTTTTGATTACTGCTGTATCCCCTGTACAATAGTACCTGGCAGCTAGTAGACACTCAGTAAATATATGTTGAGTGAATATCACATACAAGTGAAAACACAAATATAATTTAGCAGTGGGAAAACTGGGATATCTTTGAGAGGCAACGGTTTTATACGAAAATGTGATCCTTTTGGCTCCAAAAGGCTGGTCTGCTGGCGTCACTACACCCTGGGGTGTGGCAGCGGCAGTGGTTTGGAGAGGGGATCCTGATGGTTGCACAGTAGTGAGTGAATCCTGCTGTGGGGGAGAAAGCACACTGGTGACCTTTGGCTGCCTGCTGATAACATCGACTGCCCACCTCCAGCAAAGATGTAGGGTTTGCAGGAGTGCATTTTTGCATCTCTCATATTTCTGATTCCATCTTATGTTCTTACTTCATTTTTCTTTAAATGCCTCATATTCATCTGCTTTTCTTTTCTTTTCTTTTCTTTTTTCTTTTTTTGAGACAGGATCTCACTCCATCACCTGGGCTAGAGCTGCTGTTCCCAACCCCCAGTGAAAGGAAAAAAAGGGTTGGTCCCCAGGCTGCAGACCAATACTGGTCTATACCTGTTAGTTGAGCTACACAGCACTGCCACCTGAGCTCCACCTCCTGTCCTACCTTCCCCTTCTGCTCCATCTGTGAAAAAATGGTCTTCCGTGAAACCAGTCCCTGGTGCCAAAAAGGTTCTGGTCAGGGCCTGTTACAGTAGGAGGTGAGCGGCCAGGGAGCAGGCAAAGCTTCGGCTGTATTTACAGCCCCTCTGCTCCTACTGCTTGCCTCACCGCCCGAACTCTGCCTCCTGTCCCATTCTCCATGCTCCCTACCTTACTTCCCCCATCCCCACCCCCGCTGCCCCACATCCATGGAAAAATTGTCTTCTATGAAACTGGCCTCCAGTGCCAACAAGATTGGGGACCACTGAGGCATGAGCCTCATAGTTCACTGCAGCCTTAAACTCCTAGGTTCAAGGATCCTCCTGCCTCAGTTTCCCAAGTAGCTGGGACTATGGGTGCATGCCTCCATGCCTGGCTAACTTTTCTGTTTTTTGTGCAGGCTGGTCTTGAATTACTATCCTCAAGCAATCCTCCCACCTTGGCCTCTCAAAGTGCTAGGATTAGAGCGTGAGCCAGGACACCTGGCCTTCATCTGCTTTCAATTCAGATTATCTAGTTATATTTTGTGTATGTGTATAAGGACCTTTAAATCTATTTTTATATAAAATACAGAAAAACCAATAAATAGTAAGTTAAGCTGATTGGTGTGGCTCACAAATGTCATTTGTACCCTCAGGAAGATGCCTTGGGTTTTTTCCATGTTCCTAGCATCCAAACCATGAAGCTTAAGGATAAATGAGTTGATATCTCTGACGTTCTTTGCACTTTGGGGAGAAACGCCCTCTCTAATGCTCCTTTTCTTATTTTCTATAGGTTGACAGCAGGGACTGGTCCCTTAATGGGAACACCCTCTCCCTCGATGAAGAAACGGTCATTGATGTGCCTGAGCCCTATAACCACGTATCCAAGTACTGTGCCTCCTTGGGACACAAGGCGAATCACTCCTTCACTCCAAACTGCATCTATGATATGTAAGTATTATCCCAACCTGTGGATCTGTCCCTCAAGGACTGAGGAGGTCACGTAAAAGGTGTTATCCTGCCTTGGGTAAAGGCTGCTCCCTCCAGATAACCAAGTGTCCTCTGCTACTGTTCCCAAGGTTATGAAATTCAAAATCTAAACAGCCCCACTCCTTAGTCTTGACAATCTAAGAAATGGAAAAGTACCTCCAAGAATAGAAATGCTTTGGAAATAGTATACCTAGGGGTACTTTATTATTATTTTTTTTTCTCATTCTGAAAAATTAAGGATGGTGTTATTTGAAATAATAGTCAAAAGCGAAATGACTCTGCACAATGGAGAAGATTAGATAACCCTTTCATGATGTGAAGGAAGGAGGAAGATCAATAAAAGCCTAAGCCCAGGGCCTGAGGTCTCAGTGTTCTGGGAGACCTGTAACTTCCTTGTTATTTGGTGACAAAAAGGAATGGAGCACTGATGTGTGGCACACCAAGGATGAGAATTAAAAACATGCATTATGCTAAGTGAAGGAATTCAGTCTCCAAAGACAACATATTGCATGATTCCATTTATATGAAATGTCCCCCAAATAGGAAATCTGTACAGACAGAAAGTAGATCGGTGGTTACATAGGCCTGGGGGTGGGGGCATAAGGATGTCTGCTAATGAGTATGGGGTTTCATTCCCGGGTGATCAAAATGTTCTAAACTAGGTGTTCTGAAATTAGATAATGTTGATGATTTCACAACTTTGTGAATATATTTTAAAAAACACCGAATTGCCTACTTTGAAAGGATAAATTTTATAGTGTGTGAGTTATATCTTAACAAAGCTGTTATTTTTTCAAAAATCAAACCTACTCCCTCTTAGGGTTTGAGCTTTCCTTCTGCTCATTGAGCCTCTTCTTGGAAACCTTCATGGGTAGGAAGCTTACTATTATCCATAAAGGCAGCTGCCTGGACAAATGAAACAGACATTTGAAATCAGCTTTGGGGTCTGAGGACTAGAAATGGTTTGATATCAAGCCCAAATGGGTTTCCCTGTATCATCCAGCCCTTGACCTTAATTTTCTCCCTTTTTTTATTGTGTATCATGTCAATCTCCTTCTACATGGGAGCCTACAAATAATTTACTGCTTTAATTACTGTAAATTAAAACAGTAATTTTTACTGTTTTTTCATGTGCCCCTGAATGTTCTGTCCCCAAAGCCACGCATCTTTAGACTCTAAAAAGATACAGTTGGGATTCTTTGCACCATCATCATTGCTCTCCTTAACTTAGGTTGAGAATGCCAGTTCTTCTTGGGAACTAGTGAGCTGTGTGCAACCTTTTCTGCTCTGTCACAGCCTGCAGTCCCTCAGTTGTCTAGGTCATTAGCATAAGCAGGATCAGATCCTGTGGATCTAATCTGTAGGAAAACCACCAGGATTTGGAGGTTCCTCAAGAATGTCCCATCCTGCATCCATGACATGTCTTGAAAACTCCTGGCAGTGACTTGCTCTCCTTGGCAGCCAGTAACCGGCACTGAAGCTACAAGTTCTATTTAAAGGGAGGGTGGAAATTCAAAAGGACATGTGTCATGTGAAATACAACTGACACCACTATTAACTCCAAGGCTGGCATGGCCAGTATGATGAGGCCAGATCATCATTTCAAGCTGCACACAGCTTAACAACAATCCTTTAAAGTAGTGGTAAAGAACATACGTAAATGCTATTTAAACTATTCCTTTAAAACAAGCCAGTTCTTTCATTTCATTGCAAGGACATGATTTTTCTCATCAATAGGAAGAAATGGTGGGTTCTCATCTAATGGGCACCATGTAAGGGCATATGGCACACCTCCTGGGTGAGGGACACAGCTACAGAAGGGACTTCAACTAACAGGTGCAAACTTTGTGACCTAATCATTTGTATCCTCATGCTAATCCCAAATTTAAAAAAAAAAAAAAAAAAAAAAAAGAGAAAAGGCACAGGAGACAAGAGAAGGTTCCATTTGGGCTAAATCAAGGCCATGCACTTTGCAGGTTTTCATTAAGCTTTGTTTGTTTGTTTGTTTGTTCTTAAGCTCACTGTGACTAAATCTTAGTAATTTGAGGTCATGGGAAGACTGCTTGAATAACAACCAAATATGAAATTCAGATACCAATTCATGGCATTTATTTGTTTCTAAAATAATTGGTATTGTTATATATGCTTTAACACAAAACTACACATCTGTAAACTGTTTTAAGCGCAGTCTGGTACAAAATGCCAAATGGACAAATAGACAAGAACTGCTTTCCCAGCTCTAAGTACTGGCAACATGCAGACAGGAGCCAAGCTGGTTGGCGCAGAGGCCTGGTCTGACTGCTGACCATGCAGCTGATGTTTACTGAGCGCTCATCTATTATCTCACTCAGTCTCCCCAGTAACCCAGTGGGGCCACTGTGTCTCCATCCCAGGTTACAGAGGAGGAAACCCAGGTCTCATAGGCATTGTGGTTAAGTGCTGTTAACCACTGTATCTTAATGTTAGCTTTAAGAATCAACACCTGCCTGGGCAGGGTGGCACACACCTGTCATCCCAGCATGTTGGGAAGCTGAGGCAGGAGAATTACTTGAGCTCAGATTCCAAGAGGTGAGGATCACTTGAGCCTAGAAGTTGAGGCTGCACTGATGCCCCAACACTCCAGCCTGGGCAACAGAGCAAGGTCCTGTCCCAAAAAGAAAAAAAGAAAAGGAAAATCAACACCTAAAATTGAATTCTTTCTTTGCAGTCTGTTCATTATCTACTCTCTGAAAATAACGATAATGGGCAGGAAAATGAAAATATAAAAGGATTGTAGAAGAAGTTTGAGCCCCAGAAACACCACATAACACAAGACTGGTTCTTGTCGTTGCTAACCAGAGTTCCATTTGGGGAGTGTTATTCTTTTAGTGAAAAAAAAAAAGGTTTTTTTGGCCGCAGCTGGGTTTGAACCCACCACCTCCGGCATATGGCGCCGGCACCCTACTCCTTTGAGCCACAGGCACCGCCCCTCGTAAAATATTTTAATTTAAACATAGAGTTATAATTTCAATAAAGAGTTTGTGAGTCTGTGGTTTAGGCATCTCCTCTGTGATGGAGAACCATCTGATAATTCTGTGCATTGCCATGCTCTCTCTCTCACACACACATGCACACGCCTGCTCACACACATGCATGCTTACACACATAGTAACTAAGATTTGTTGAGCCCTCACTTTGTGCCAGGCACTCTGCAAGGTGCTTACTATATGTGACTCCATTTTGTCACCACAAACACTTTGCAAGATAGGAATTACTGGTATTATAATTTTACAGATGGGGAATATGATTCAGAGATATGAGGTGGGCTTCCCAAGAAGATGCCGTAGTAATGTGCAGAATCAAGACGTACACCGGAGCCTTCTGACCACAAGCATCCTTGTATTCCACAGAAAAGATGTCCCCAAACCACAGACACACTCATTGCTCCACTACTGATAGAGGGAACCGGCCAAGCACCTACTATTATGCCCCACATGCTAATCTACCTTAGGGCCTGGAACATTCCCTTCTGGTGTCTCACCTGCCCTTTGTTTAAAATGTAACCGTAAATGGCCGGGTGCGCTGGCTCACGCCTGTAATCTTAGCTCTGAGAGGCCAAGGCGAGTAGATTGAGCTCAGGAGTTTGAGATCAGCCTGAGCAAGAGCAATACCTCATCTCTAAAAAATAGCTGGGCGCTGTGGTGGGCGCCTGTAGTCCCAGGTACTTGGGAAGCTGAGGCAACAGATCGCTTGAGCCCAAGAGTTTGAGGTTGCTGTGAGCTATGATGTGATAGCACTCTATAGAGGGTGACAAAGTGAGACTCTGTCTCAAAAGAAAGAAGTAACTATAAGTAAATGAAATTGATTTGACAGGATGCACATAAAAAATAAAGCTGATCTCTCTCTGACTAGGCCTTTACATACCCTTTTTGGCAGCTCTTAGGTAAGGTGTTCATTAGTTGTTTCTCTGCCTGTTCTGCAGGGAGCTGTGCAGGTGATCTGGGCTGAGAACTTATGGCAAATGAACATCTTCCTAGCATTAACCTCACTTCTGGTTCTGAGCAAACCTGTTGCAGAGATGAGATACTGCTCCTTCACAGGATGCCCCAGGGAAATACTAAGAAGCCAGTTGACAGAAAGGTCTTACCTTCCTTCTTGGAGAGAAATCATCTACTTGCAGGCTAGGAAAACAATACTTCCTCTGTATGTGTAGGGTGGAATACAGAGTTTTTTGCTTTGAAAATCCTTAGGACTCTTTCTTACAATTCCGAAAGCACTCTGGTAAAGCTTTCTTCCTGAGGTACAGCTAGATAATCTGATCAAGCTTCTGGCCAGATGAGCTGAAATGCTGAGAGGCGGGACCGGATCTGTTTCTCATTAAGGACAGGTTTTTGTTGTTGACCATGCCTACAGGTTTGTAAGTACAGAGTGCCAAACCCGTGTATGCCGAAAACAATAAAAAACAAAAACAGATCAGTGTTTCATAAACTTTAATGTGCCAGTGAATCGCCTGGGGGTGTTGTTAAAATACAGATTCCAATCCAGCAGGTTGGGGTGGGGCCGAGTTGCTCCGCTTCTAGCAAGCTCCCAGGTGATGCTGACGCTGGCAGATCTGTGGACCGCACTTTGAGTAGCTGCCAGCGATGCCAGGGAAGAGCACACGGGGGCGATGATCCCTGCGTCAGCCTCTCACCAGCCTTTGCTCCTGACCTTCTGGTCTGGCCCAGAAATGACTGTGTGCATCTTGCTGTTTAGGTTTGTCCACCCCCGTTTTGGACCCATCAAATGCATCCGCACCCTTCAAGCTGTAGAGGCCGACGAGGAGCTCACCGTTGCCTACGGCTATGACCACAGCCCTCCAGGGAAGAGTGGGCCTGAAGCCCCCGAGTGGTACCAGGTGGAGCTGAAGGCTTTCCAGGCCACCCAGCAAAAGTGAACGGCCAGACTCTTGGGGTTCAGAGACCTGGAATAGAAACTTGGATCTATGCACTACGTTTATCTGACAACCAGGGACTGCTCGTGCTGTGACATCACATCCTCTCACCCTGAGTTAGCAACGACTTTCTCGCATACTAACTAGGTTTGACTGTATTACTCATACCAGATTTAAAATTAGCTAGCCTTGCAACAACTTCCTACTGAGAGGTATTGTCGAGCATTTGACATAAGACAGCATGATGTTCTCTGGTGGTTCAAATCTAAATCTGTACCACATTCAGAGATGCCAAATGATTAGACTGAAAAAGGGAAATGGGATTTTTCAGTCATTTTTAGAAAGTGGTTTTTCCATGATGTTTTTTTCCTACGGCCAATGCAAAGTGTATTCTCACACTTGCATATGTGCTATACTGAGGGTAGAGAATTACTATATCTTTATTCTCTAAATGTAGTATAATTTGCCTTTTAACCTTTGATCTGTATCTTGCAATAGAATGGCTTTATTTCTTTCCTAGTGAATAGAAGCCCACTTTTTGAGTCATTTCACCCCTCAGTCCTATTCTCTCTCTTAGATATCCTTTACAAGAGAAAACTTCCCAATGGATTTTGCATCAGTAGCAGTATGTAGATCTTTCTGGTTCTTTCTATATCATTATTTCATTATTATGTCCTAATATAAAGTACTGGCTCTTAGGGCCGGGTATTATTATAGAATATTATTCTCGCATGTAAACAAAGATATCTTTGCTTTCAGATGTGAGAAGAAATGAATTTACTTTGTTTGCATTAAGTTATGGGAGAGCTGTAATATATACTTTAAGAAAGAAGAGAAGAAAATTAGAATTTCTAAGCAGTAACTGTGGCAATTTTGCAATATCTTCAATAGTGCTAGTAATTTTTTTCTCCTTGGGTACACGTTAAATATACATAACACAGCACAGTCTGGCTTGTGGCACAGTGCATTGAATTCAGAAGTCAAATAGCAACCTTGAGTTCTAACAATTCAAAAAACATTTTTGTTTAAATTAATACTATTAAGGCAGACATACTGATCATTAGGAACAAATCAAACCTTAACGCTAAAACTCTTCATTGTAATTTCAAAGCACTTATCTGCTTCAAAGCATTGCAAACTGAGAGTTAACACCTGTATAGTTTAAAAGCAGCAATATCCAATAGCATTTCAGCCATTTTGCCAGCCATGTATAATCACAACTGCAGAAATAAGGAGAAAACCCATTTTTTAGTTTAGTTAATTAGATCTGTAACGTAACTGGGATTGCTCTGACTGAATTCTGAGAGTTTTGGGTTTTGTAAGCACCTGCACCACAAGCCATCACCCACTGTGTCATCTTTAGACACCTCAATGAAGTGACCGGAGGAAGTGGAGAGCTGTGAGTGCTCTGAGCTGTATCTGTCAACAGTGGCTCCTGTCACCCGAGTCCCTATGGTCTGGAAAGCTGAAGCCCATGAAGCCGTAGCAGACAGCAAGCTCTGGCTGATCAGGGAGGCTTGCTAGGAGCAGAAGAAGGGTAAGGAAGGAGGCTAGAGGATGTTTGCTATTTCTTGTCAGCTACACATTTGCTTTATGAAGACTTCAACAAAAGTGGTGAGCCAAGGCTAACAAGAATATTCAATTCAGGCAGCCCCTGGGCACAGGCTTTAGCCCTCCAGAAAATGAGAATCACCCTTTCCTTCTTTGCCTCCTGGAGCGCCTGGCTGCAGGGTTTGCAGCTATGCAGTAGTGGTTTCACGGAGATCCAGCTGGATCCCTGCTTGAAAGCTTGAGCTGATGGTTCACACGTGAGAGGAAGTTGTCAGGGCTTCCACGAAAAGGAACTGAATAGTGTTTTTAGAGTAGAAGGCATCGGGATAGGATCGCTTCTATTCTGTTGAAAGAGACTGTTCTGTAAACTCTGATGGAAGAGTGAAATCTCTGGACTTGTATATTCTGATAGGTGCTTTAATTTAAATATGTCCCAAGTGAGTCTTCAGGAGAAAGATGGCTTTCATTAACCCCAGTCAGGTGGGTTACAGAGGCAGGCCAAGGAGAGGATGGTGCAGGTTACACCTCCCAGGCAGCTGTGGCTCTGAATGAAGGCACCCTTAAGGGTGATATCCTTCTGGTCAGGGCTGCAGTGGGGTGTAATTTCTGTCCTAAGGGGCTACTCTAATTATTCCATTCAAATGTAAATTTTAAACATTTTGGATAAAAGGAATTGGAGAGTTCTAAGTAATGATTAACCAGCTAATCAGTTCTTCAAATCAGATGTTGAATAATAACACTCTGAGCTTAAAACCTAGTGGTGTGCCTGACCATCTCTCTCCTTCCAAGTCCTCGGTGTTCTGAGCACTCGCCTCCCCGTTGAGTCTCTCTCTGGCCCTCTGTACGTGCCTTTCAGGACGTCCCCTGTGTGGACCTCTCCCCACTTGCCTGTGTCTCTGGCTCTGTCCCCACTGCTGTCCCCCAGGCCCCCCCTCTCATTCACACACATTCCCAAATGTAAGTCATAGGTGGAATCAGAGGGGGGCTTGAGAGTCACTGAGTTCTGCAGGTAGGGAAAGAAGTCGCGGGGTTGAGGTTCCCTAAGGATTGACTGTTGAGCAAGTAAGGGTTTGTTCCCTGTTGGAACCAAAACATGAGTGGAAAAACCTCAGGATGTATTTTTCCATTTTACATCCTCTGTGGAAGGAAGTGTGTCAGGAAGCCACCACATCCGGTCACTTCATCAGCATCATGCAACAGAATTGTGGAAGATTCCATGTGAAGGGGGGAATAAAGAAATAACCTCGTGCTCTCCCTAAAACCGGTGGGGGCCAGTGTGTGCCTGGCCCTGTGGTCTCGGGGATTCGCTCAGAGCTGTCTCAGTCCAACGCTTGCATGTCTAGATCTTTCCCTAGCACCTTTTCTATGATGAAATATTATCTCGTGTTAGAGTTAGGAATAGGAACTAATCTGTAGGAGCATGTCCCTAAATGGACATTGGGATGACTGATGGAAACAACTGTAAGGATTGAATTTCTGACACAAAGGAATGATGAGATTTAGAAGCACAGATGAGGAGGACGGGAGTCTTGTAGTGCCTATTCTTATTTTTAACCCGCTGCATCCCTGGTCTACCTGAGAAACAAAGAAGGAAATGAGTTTTTCAAGACCTCTTTTGAAAAGTGTTTGGGGCTGTAGTGATACCTATTCACCTCTGGGGGTTCTTCAAACTTGAAAAACTCTTTCCTTGTCACCAACAACCCAGAGAGGCCAAAGAGTCCAAATGTAACCATTTCTAACATTTAATTGTCACTATTAAAACTGCATCAATTGGGAACAGTGAATTAAAGGGTTGTCTTCTCAGTGAGACAGTATGTGGCACTTTTAGTAAATTTCCTTTAACATATAAAAATTTAAGTCACTCACTGCAAAGTGCATTTAAAATCTTCCAGGAAGGTAGAAGTATAGTTTTCTGTTTTTGCTTTGGTTTAAAACATTTGCCTCAAGTTTCTGTCTTTAAAAGTAGTGATTTAGGATCCAGACATCTTTTATTTTAGAAAAACAAGCAAAATGATGTTGCAAGACTGACAGTTATAATGTTATTTGCCACAGATCAAAGGTTCACAAAATATATTAAATTTACATCCACTTGAGGTACCTTGACAGGTTGTTTTTTTCTTTGATCTTTCCCTTCAGAAATTTGGAGCCTCGGTATCATTTTTTGTTTTAAATACTAAATTTTAATGGTTTTCTTTTGCCAAATGTGTGCATACATATTCAAAGCAATGAAACTATTTCAAGCCATACAACCACAGGGGTGGAAATCCTTTTCACAAATTTTAATGTGTTTGTATGTAAATAGATGTTTGTATGAAATATTTTCATGGTAGAATGAATATATTTAAATGAAGTTGAATTATTCCAGTGCTATTTAAACACATTACAAAAATTTTGGTGAGAATTATCTGAGTCTAATTGAGATGTAATGCAGATCAATTTTGATTTTTGATTTTTAAAAATCAAAAGCCTACAGATAACTCCGACTCACAGCAACTGCCTTGGCGTTGTTGCATCCGATGTGGAGAGAGCTCGTAGGCTTCCCCAGTGCCTCAGCCGCTTCCTGGTGGTAAGTTAGGTGCTAATGGAGGTGTGTTCACCTTTTAGTGATATCACTACAGGCCTTCCAGGGGCCTGAGAGTGAATCAGAGGCATTAGAGACACCGGTGCAGTTATCTGGAGCACAATTTCTTTGCAGGGCAGCAGAATCAGAAGCCAGACTTGGCCAGGGGAACCTCAGACCTGGGTCTCCTGGCCGCCACCAACCGCCACCCTTACTGCCTAGTCACACACACGTCAGGGAGGCTGCCCTCAGTGGAGTTGGGGTTCAGACCCCAGGGTGGGACTTCACGGTTTTGCCAGCAATCTTGCCTTCTCACCTCCACCTCCCACAGAGGAAGGAGAAGGAGGCAGCTGGCAAGGGGCCCATTTCTCAGCACAGAACATTTCCTGTCTCAGCTCTGGAAGACTATGCACCTACGCACCCAACTTCCGACCAGAGAGAGAGACGTCCTCAGATAACGGAAATCCTTGCTTCCTCTGTCTGCGACTTTACACACAGTTGTTAGAAATCGTTTTAATAACAAAACCAATCACATCTCTAGGACATACCTCCAAACTCTGCTGACCCTTACGTTACTGAAGAAACAAAAGCAAAAACTCCTCTATGATGATATTCAACTTGAGTGGGGTTTTTTTTTCCACTTTGGTCCTAGATATAATGAAATGATAAATATTATGACAAATTTTCACTGTGTATAGCAGCAATATGAACACACATGCTAATGTACCTTAACATATCTACTTGGTTACATTTTGGGTTACTATAATGAATCTTGATTTACGTATTGGGACAGTACAGGGATTCCATGATGCCTGCTTACCTACCACATTAAGAAAGTTATGTCCATGAGTTTGAGCTCCCTACTCCAAAACTTGTTCCTCCTAGGTTTTCTATGTTCTCTTTTTATCCTGAAATGCATTTATTAGGTTGTGAGGTGTGTTTAAGGAGTAGAAGTCATGGGTGTGCTTTCGGCATTTATCGCAACCAAAAGTTAACCCCATCACAGTTAAAGAGCATCTTTGGTCTTTTGTGGAATTTGAACTAAATCTATGAGCCTTATTCAATATCTATAATTCTATGATTTTTTTTAAATTATGGGAAATTAATGAAAGATGTTTACATGAACAATGTTTGCCCTTGCTGTGTGATGAATGAGTTTTTTGTAGTGTGTCTGGGTGCATGTGCAAGAGAGTAGGAAAAATGTTTCTGAAACAAAACTTGACAAATATTTGTAATGAAAAGTAAATTTAAAGATTGCTATAATTGTGCTATAGAAACAATGCAAGTATTAAACAAAATATACAATCATCTTTCATCGTCTTCCTTTGGTCATAAAGCAGTTGTGTTTTTCTTCCAACATGTCTACCTGTAGATTTAAATTACTAAGTGAACTTTACATTGTAAGTGGTTTAAAAATATTATTAGCCATTTACTATTTCCAGAGCATTATAGTAAGAGCTGAGGGGGAGTGTAGAAAGCTTCAGAGCTTGCTGTATAATTGATGTGATTCCCATCCACACATGGAACCAGAATGATTTGCCACACCAACAGAGAGTATCTGCTTCAATGCATAAATGTTAAGGGTATTGAACATAAATAAGATGATCAAGGAAAATGGCTGAAAGAAAAGAAATTTCAACTCATGGCTTAAAGAACATAAAGAAACTTCGTTAAATGGTGTAGTAGATTTTGGCGTCTTAGTATGAGTCGAGGGATGCAGGAACCCCTTATACCTGCCTGAATCACAGTCAACATTTACAGGGCACAAAAGCCAAGGACAAAAAGAGTCAAAATAGTACTTCGCTATTGGCTGGGCCTTCTGCCCATGACCCCAAAGCAGTTAACTCTAGTAAGTGTGGCTGGGCTATAGGAGGCACAGTTTGACCTCAGACTGAAGCAGGCTGTGAGAACTCCAGCTTTATTTGACCTCTGTCTATTGCCCAATCCTTGATCTTATCGTGCTTCCTTCCACAGAAGGGAAGAAACAGAAACAAATGAGATAAATGAGTCCAAACTAGTATTGGACCAGCTTCTCCACTTTGCACAATGGCATGTCCATATGCTGAATCCTTAAGGCAGGGTTTTACCCATTAACACATACAGGTCAAATTAGGTTGTTAATTTTCTTCTTCCTTGTGGGAGAGA